TGGTCATATCTCGTTAGCCCCATAATTGTTCAAATACCATGTTTATGGGCCTTGTTTAGAGGTTCAAGTTTATCCATCGATACTCCTCTCCATACAAGGCTATAGTATGTAATTTGTGGATGGATTACTGTGTGGTCGCTCGATTTTAGGGCTTTCAGAGTAAGTTTGCTTCGAGTATGGAACACAATACTTCACAAACTGTATTTTATTCGTTATATATTTCATGTGTTTTATTCGTTAAATATAGATTACTATATAAAATGATAACTAAAAAACTCAGTGTTGCTTTTAAGGGTAAGTGATGTGTTGTCTACTACCAGAGGAGGACCATGAGGTAGTTTCTTACCTTGTCTAAGGAATATTACATACAGGCCTTTTTCAGTATTTTCGTTTATTTGATACTGTAAGGTATAGTCCAAGCTCAAGGCCTGGCATCATCCTCCCGGAAAGAGGAGCCCCTTTGAAAGATATAACAGTGCTGCTTTTATTCTTCTCTAGTGTCCTTCCACTGTAGTGATAGTAGCAATAGTAGTAGTGGTAGTAATAGCCATAGCAGTAATGATAGCAATAGTGGTAGCACGAGCAATAGTAGTAGTGGTAGTGTAGTGACCTGGATTGCAGCCTCCACATCAAATGATGACCATCCGAGTGGCATCAGAACGTTTGGCGATACTGGGATTTTAAAGGATGACTGGTGCCGTGTACATAAACAGAAGAGATTTTATTTTAATTTATCTGTCCACGATCTAGATGAAGTTCCGATCTAAATTATGTCAGATCATATTCAAAATGTCCAGTGCGCATCACCTAATTCTCATTTTAAGTACCCATAATCCCCACACTCACGCAAATAGCCAGCGCTAGTTTCCCACAGGGGATTCTGTGGATACCTTGCTGTTATTCATGAGTTTTATTGTAACGTGGACCTTTTTTGATTGCTTCGTGTTTTAGTATATCTTTTTAAATAAACCGTATATTTTAAATGTATATATTATATATATTATGCCTAAGGAATATCCATCCTATCCACCATGGGTTAAACAATAAAATCTAAATCTTGTACTAAAGTTTTAAATAAAATAATTAGCATAAATGTTTTGCCACAGTTAATGAATGATGCTCGCGCTACCACAGATCACCTTTTAAGAAATTCACCCTGCTTTAACTTCGTACAAGCTGGGCGCCCTTGTTAGTGACACGCTACAGTAGCACGAGCAATGACAGTAGTGGCAGAACGAGCAATAGCAGTGGTAGCAGCAAGAGCAATAGCAGTAGTGGCAACACGAGCAATAGCAGTAGTGGCAGCACGAGCAATAGCAGTCGTAGGGGTAGCACGAGCGGTAGGCACAGAACAGTCGGGATAAAAGAGTAAAATAACGAACAAAAAGTAAAGATAACATAACGATTGCTCAGTAAAAGATCAGTAAAAGTGTAGAAAAAATATAGTAAAAAGAAGATTAGTAAAAGTAGAGTAAAAAGATCAGTATAAGCAGAGTAAAAAGATAAGTATAAGTAGAGTAAAAAGATCGGTAAAAAAAAAACAGTAAAAGTAGAGTAAAAGGAGTAAGAAGATCAGTAAAAGTATAGGTAAAGACTACAGTAAATGTTTAGTAAAAACAAAACTCACCAGTAAAAGTCTCAGATAAGTTACCTTACTTTCACACATATATACACTGTTAAAAGACTAAGAAAGATAAAATAAAAAGTAAAAAAGAACTAGTATTTAAGATGAGTATCACTGGATTTAGATTTAAGTTGTCTCAGCTTCATCAATGTAAAATATTATATCAATTGCATTCATTTATGCTTAACACGTTCATCATTTTCCAAACCTAAGCAAGTAAAGTTCCAGTTGACACTGTTTATTTGTTCTGTTCCCGGGAACTCGTGACATACAACATTTTCTCAATACAACCAAAATAAAATAAAATAAAATGCAACTGAATTGATTCATACAACATAAAAATATCAAAATCATTAATAAAATGTCATAAAACATGAACTAAAAGAGTTTATGAATAAATTTAAAAACTAAAATCATAAAACATTAAAATTAAGACCCGTGAATTTGTAAAGCATTCATTAATAAAATAAGATGATAAAATAAGTCATTACTAGGTCACGAACTGAGAAATCGTTAAAAAAATAGCAGTAAAACACGACCTTAAAATAATACAAAACGAAATAAAATACAAATAAAATACATGAACTAAAAGTAGAGACAATAAAACAAATACAATTGGTAGAAATAAAAGCGAAAAAAATAAAAGGAAAAGGGATGGTGGTGAACTATGGTAACCACGCGCAGATGATGCAGGTGTGAATGTGTGGCGTGACAATTAGGGTGCCACGCCCCGTCTGGGTGAATGGTACATTCCACAATTCCAACCAAAGTTCTTTGTTGGCCATTGGCAAGAGATAATTTAAGTCCGAATGAGTAATATAAAAGTACAATCACCAGCAAATAAGAAGTGCTCGAATTAACCATGTCATTTATGTATAACCAAAATAACAGGAGACCTAAGATAGAGCCTTGACGCACTTCGTAAAAAAATGGTAAATTTGAGGACTTACTGTCATTGTAATGGACAAATTGTTCCGTTTGACAAGCAAGATATTAGAAGTGAATGAGTAGATCCTTACATTCCATATTGGTTGAGCGTAAGATCTGATAGTCGACCGAATCAAAGGTTTTTGAGGTCAAACACATCTGTGCTTTTTCCGTGGACTTGTTTTCTTGGAAGCCAAACGGGGAGTCGGATATCAAGTTGTTCCTGTTACAATAGTTTTTTATCACTAAGGGCTGGCAAGATGGATATTGGACGAAAATTACCCAAATCAGGTGGTCCATCCGACTTGAGGACTGTTGTTTCTTTGCAAGTTTAAGTCCAGTGATATATATATATATATATATATATATATATATATATATATATATACAAATACATACATACATGTATACATGTGTGTGTGTGTGTGTGTGTGTGTGTGTGTGTGTGTGTGTGTGTGTGTGTGTGTGTGTGTGTGTGTGTGTGTGTGTGTGTGTGTGTGTGTGTGCATATGTATGTATATATATGAATATAAATCTCTATAAGTATATATTTGTATACGTGTGCGTATGCGCACATATAGTGTATATACATATATATGTAGGTATAGATATGTAGTTTAGACTTATATACATATATATGTATATATGTACATATATGAAAATATATGTATATATATAGGTATGTATATATGAATGTATAAAGATACGTATCTCTCTATATATAATACACATACACATACATATATACATACATATGTGTGCATGCATATGCATATGTATATATATGTGTGTGTGTGTGTGTGTGTGTGTGTGTGTGTGTGTGTGTGTGTGTGTGTGTGTGTGTGTGTGTGTGTGTGTGTGTGTGTGTGTGCACATCATATATGTATATATAAGTATGTATATACATGTGTATGTGTATGTGTGTGTGTGTGTGTGTGTGTGTGTGTGTGTGTGTGTGTGTGTGTGTGTGTGTGTGTGTGTGTGTGTGTGTGTGTGTGTGTGTGTTCATTCGGCATCCTAGGGCGACTGGTACCTACGCTAGCGAGTTTCTGGTCCTTCGCTGGATCTACGGGCATCCCGGCAGGCGGCGCCCTTCCACTACATCCTCGGGCGGCTTAATGCCTGCTCTGAAGAGCCACAGGCCTATGGCGATCTTCGGTGACGTCCTTCCCACAGCATCTTAAGGTGACCGTTTCTGCAGCAGGGTCTTCCTTCGGTGCCGTGTCGGATATCGTCGGTCCAACTTCCATGTATAGTCGGGGAGCCAGATCATATATGTATGGATCAAGATAGTAAGAGAAAAAAAGGCAACAGAGAGGAAGGGATGTTAATAGCCTGTAATTTCACTATTTTCTTGTATTTCAGTGTTTTTTCGTTTGTACAGCATCATTCTGTTTCACTTGTGGGGTTTTGCATCCTCAAAATTATTTTTGGTTCAGTTTATTACTTTGTCTTTTGTAGACATGCTCAATAATTTGGTACACTTGATATTTATGAAAGTACCTTAATGAGGGTGGAAACTCTCACTAGGCCCAGCCAATTTTTGTAAAGCACAAACACGTTTACTATGTATAATTTGATTGGGTTAAATAAAATAATCAATATCAATAATAACTACAGCCGCATTCGCCCTTCGTTTCCACCAGCGACAGTCCCTGTGGCCGCCAAAGAAGCCTATGATTGTCAGTGTGTGTGAGGTGACTGATACCTCTGCATAGCACTCGCTTAAGGTTCATTGAAAAGCGTTCAAACCTGTTAATTAATACATCAATTATACAAGTGCACAAAATATACAAAGCCTATAATAACAACATATATTAGATATAATATATGTATATAATATAATATAATAGGTTTGAGTCGATCCACAGGCTTTCTACACCCAGGGTTGTCTTGAATTAAAATAACCTGAATCTGTAAATAAGCCAGGAGCCCTTGAGTTGGCGGTCACGGATTGTGCAAGTACCAGGTCAGTCACACAGTGTAACTGTTGGTTGGACACAGGGTTCTACCAACTGTACCCCATGGAAAACTGGCAGTATCAGGACCTTGAATATTTTTGTCAAGAGAGTTCATGACCCCTGCTGCCAAGCCAATCTATCAACTGACTTCCTAGTCTGACAGCCCAATGTAATATATATATATATATATATATATATATATATATATATATATATATATATATATATATATATATATACACACACATTATAAACAGGCGAAAGAGTGGGTTCAGTAACAATAAAACTAAACAATAGGTACAACTTAAAGACTGTTCAAGCATATGCTCCAACTTGCAGCCACAGTGATGAAGAAATAGAGAACTTCTATGAAGATGCTCACTTAGAAAGCGAGAGAGTAAAAGCCCATTTCACAATGCCAAAATAGATGAAAAGACAGGAGAAACCGTAGTGGGGAATCACGGACTAGGCACTAGGAGTGAGAGACTTTGCGGAGGGGCGATCACTCAATATCA